TCCCCTAGTAAGGGGAACCTGTGTGTGTGTGTTGGGGGTGGGGGGAATGGCCCCTCACCTTTGCCACTTGCTAGAGGCTGCCCTGAGTGACGTGGGAAGGCAGACGCCTCCTGCAGTGCGGGGAAGAGGAAAACGGGGTGACAAAGCTCAAACCGCAGAATCCCTCCAGGCGCGGCAGGATCCAGAAGAGTCGCCCGGAAACCTGAAGTCTGAGGCGGGGGCGGGGATAGACCGAGGCCCATCACCTGCCCGCAGGGAAAGGGATGAGTTGGCGGCAACCCAGCGTCTGGGAAAGCCAGACCTGCCCCTGCGCAGCTCTGTGAGCGCCTGGGTTCCGCACTCCAGACGCGGACAAGAACGGTCCATCACCCGGACCACCAGCCAGCAAAACCCTAACCCTTTCCCTCGGTGACCTCACCCTCAGCTCTTGGGGAACGCGTGGGAGCTGCAGGCCACAGTTCCACCGGAAATCCGGACTCTGATCCCAGTTTCCGACTCCCGCGATCTGCGGAGCCCCTTTGCTCAGCCGTCGGACACTACCAATCCCAGGAGCGCACCTCCCCCCGCAGTACAGGCAGGGAGACTGAGGCCTAGAGACAGACAAAGGTGCCCACAGACAGGAGGTAGAGACACGTGGGAGAGCTTAGTTTGCTAGGACCAGGAGCCTGGGGCAAGGGGTTCTGACAAATCTCTCTCGGGTTTCCCCGGGGCCTGGGGGGGGTGGGGTGGGGGGGCGTCCCAGATAATAATAGATAATTTGTCGAAGACTTTACCAGCATAAATTCACTGAATTTCCATCACAGATCAAGAAGACAGATTAAGGTCACTCCTATTTTACAGGTGGGGAAACTGAGAATCTATGAGGAAAGCGTTAAATAAAAAAAAAAAGTGTCCAATACTACACAGCTAGTACAGTTGCCAAACCACAAGTCTCCAGGACCTGCGCCTTAACCTGGGAGCCAAACCATTGGCAGAGTGAGTCTCCTAACCCAGAATGCTCACGGATTCCTTGGCTGTCCTTCCCCAGGGTCTGGGTTCCCTATTCAGGTCCACGGGAAGAGAGCGCACAAGCCCCCTCCCACGGTGGGGGATCGGACTTACAGCAGAGGAGAGAAAGAGGGTGCTGGGGAGTTCCCAAGAAAAGTCCTAAAGAGTGTTCCGACTGAATGCGCATCCACGCGGTCAGCTACGACTGGGGCTTCTCTCCGGGCCCTACCGGGACAGGGAGCACCTGGGGGACCCAGCGCCCGCCCTTGACTGTTACATTTACTTGGCCTCCAGTCAGTCGTTTGTCCCGGTCCTAGCTGAGGTCTTAGAGTTCATACAAGCTTTCCCGAAAGAAACGAGCTAAACACAGGACTTTGGGGTGGGGGTGGGGGGGGGACATCGGTTCGTCTATCAGAGGACGGAAATTTAGACACCTGCGAATGTGCTTTAATTGGGGTAGAAGATGATTCTCCCTTATCGTGACCATACGAAAAGTTCAAGTTATTTTGAGTCCGGAGAATACAGTTGGGGACACAGCCGGGAATTATCTCATAGGTCCAAAGCTATCAGAGAGCATCGCGAAACTCACCCTTCAGCCCTTGTCCCTAGTCTGGGACCTTGAAATCCCGCTTCTTCAATAGAAGGTACTTCGGAGGTGGGAGAAGAGAGTTTTCCAGCAGTTTGGAAATTAGCATCCCCTACGTAGCGCAAACTCTAGTAATAAAGAAACTTGGGCCTGCGGAGTTTGGGAGAGGAACAGAGGAATAGACCTGTTTATTTACTTAGGAGAAAGGGGTGGGGGAGAGAGGGCGAATTTAGCAGGAGCGCTAGAGGTGACCGGGTGAAAAAAAAAAATTGCGCTCGCATTTCCTTCGAGGCACAACTCCCTAGATATTTCCCAACACTGAGCGCTGTACCGCCTTTGCTATCTTTGTTTGAGAGATGCTTATGATTCGAGTGTGCAAATACGTTCTCAAAGAAGGGTGGCTGCATATTTTGTGGGACTGTACAGTCCGTGTGTGTGTGTGTGTGTGTGTGTGTGTGTGTGTGTGCTGGGAAGTGACAGCGTGCACTTAGCTGTTTGCGTGCGCTTGTGCTGGAGGAGGCAGAGGTACACACAAGCAAGAGCACACATGTATGTGGATAGTGTGTGCGTGTGTCACGAGTCTAACTTGTGTAAGTGCAGTGTGAATGGGCAGAAGTACTGTCTGTTGTGCAACAGCATCATACACATGTGTAGAACCTGAGTTCGTACGTGATTCGTGTGCACATTTGTGCGTGTGAAACCTAGCAAAGAACTCCTAAAAACTTAAGCCCAGCCAGAAGAAAGTTTAGCAGGCTGAATGCTGACTGAGGGGCCAAGGGCAGGCTGGTCCCTTGGCTTTGCGGGTGCGGGGAGGGGAGGGGGACCTCCTGTGGAGCGCGGAACGCTCTCAGAGTCTGCAGGTTAGCGCCCAGCTCAGCTCTTGGCGGGCAAGGCCGGTCCCCCTGTCGGCCAGCAATTAGGAGGACCGAGATCGCAATAGTCCCTGCTGGACAGTTCCGAGCTCTTGATCATTTCTTGAGGACAGTTTCTGGTTATTGATGCGGTGTGTCCTAAAAGAAATCGCTTTCGGATTATTCGCTTGTGTATTTATTCTGTTTAACACTGTTATTATTTGGTGCCCGCGGTGAAGACGGTGCCAAATCTACCAAGAAGTCTCTGCCCCACCTCGGTGCGCAACTCTGAGCGCCTGAGAGATCTGCTAATGCCAGAATTTTCTCTTATGATGGAGCCATAGCGCCACCTAGCGTCTCCTAGCGTCCCCCGCGTTACCGCCACGAAGGTTGGGACCTTCCTACCGCTGATTTCCCATTCACTTTCACTGTTTCTCTTTGACTAAGCCTGCAAACACGCCTTGTGGCTGCCCCTTTGAACACCGCCAAAATGCCCCTTTCTCCACCTGGCAAAGGGGAGATGGAACTCAAAGGGCATCTTTCAAACCCTTCTAAGGCTCATGTCTGTCCCTAGTCCCTAATACTCATATCTCATCGGACAATATTATTTAATAAAGAAAATATTGTTTTCTCTACAGTTTTTATTGTGACTTATCCAACATCAATAAAATCTAGTATTTATTTAGTGCATATTATGGAGCATCTTATACAATGTACTGTATCCAACACCCTACTTCAATATTATTTCCCATTTTACAGATGAAGAAACTGAAGCTAGAGAAAATAAGCACCCATCCAAGTTCCCATTGCAGAACTTACCCTAAGCCTACCTGCCTGATACCAGAACCCACTTTTCTCAACCTCTGTGTCTTATAGACTTTTCAGCTCTTTAGTCACTGACTTTATGACAGAACAAGGCATAGAGTGGCCACTCACTCATATGTTTTATGAACAAATGTACTATTGCCTTTTTCAATTTGATCTTCTAGAGTTGGGCTGGGAAAAGCATTGCAATTATCAGACACTTTGACTGAAATGTCACCACAATTTTTAATTCCCCCAAATATTCCAATCTTAGTTACTTCGCTTTGTCCTCAATTTCTTCATCTGGAAAAAATAGATTTACTGTGAGGTTAAGTAAGGGGGGGAAAAATTGAAGTGCTTGATATCAGTACTCAATAATTATAATGCCAAATATAATTGTTGATAGCTTAAAAACTAAAACAAAAAAATTAATCCTCATCACAGAGAATTCACTGTACATTTGAATATCTTTATTTTCATCTTGGAAATTACTTATGTGATAAAATATGTTCACTCTATGGTGGTTGGAGTGTTAATGTTAACCCTGCTTTGTTGTAAAAATTTCAGGTGCAGGGAGAAAAATACAATTAAACAGTAAATCAGCAGATTTTGCTTCTCACCCTTTCCTCCTGCTTTGTAGACTTTGGCCAAGAAAGATTAAAAGGAAAACTATAAATGTGATTGTTATTCTGGAAAGTACAAATTTTTTTTTTAAGTTAGGGGAGATTCTGAGCTAGTTTGAGTTTTTCCCCCACTCAAAAAACTTTGTTATTACCAATACATTAAAGTTTAAAAATATGTGTCTAAGCAAATGATTGTACCCAAATAAAAGAAACAAATGAGGTTTGTTTAAACATATCCCAGGCCTTTAGACATTTCCCCCAAAAGGATAAGTTTTAAAAGTTTAGGGTCTCTTTCTAGAATGACCCATTAATTTCTCCTGTTAGCAATTTAAGTGAAAATGAACTTTTCTTCCTAATCAGGCTATAACTTTCCTACTTTCAAATTACTACTCTCCTTCTTTCAAAATGACTATTGACTAGTATAGTCATGTCATAAACACATGATTTCTCCTCAGAGAAATGAAGCCAATAAAACCCACAAAAGGTATAAATGTGCCTCCCCATTTAGCTGGCCCATAATCCATTTCTAGTAACTTCATCCCAGCCCCAATTTAGTTCTGTTCATTTGTCCCTGCTTCCCATTTTAGGCAGTGCTCTGTATGGACATGAAATGCATTTGGGAATCTACCTGCAACAAATGTAAGTTCAGACCTTTTACCGTATAGCTGACAACATTTTATTGTCCTTGATTGGGGATTTTATTCGCATCAATAATGTGAGACACTGGTTTTTTGATAATTTGAAGTCTTGTTCTGTTTTCTTTTCTTCTTCTTCCCCCCCGCCCCCAGTAGTCACTAGACCCATTCAACAATATTCTGGGTTTTCTTCTTCCAGGTGCATAGTAAGATTTAAGTGTTCTGTCCTCTCCGAATTTAGCTATGACCTTGAGATTTGCTTTGGCAAATGAGAAATTACATTATATTAATAAATTATTAATGTAATAAGAAATTACATTAATAAAGTGATAGAGTGATAAAGAGCTAATGTGCAATTCACCAAATCCCCTTTCCTAGGCTGTAGGAGCTAGTGACCCCCAAATGGAGTTTCCATAAACCTGCCACTCCTTGAAAAGATGGTTTAGAGTGGAGACCTCTCCTACCCACATGGGCATTTAGCATGCTTAGGAAGCCAAGCTTTATTAGTGTGTTTGTTAGAGATGTTTAAAGGAATCACGTAGCCTCTCCTGACTAATACATTTAGAGAGGTCACTTATCTTTACTTTTCTTTTTGTGGACAATCACAAAATTCCCCTGGAGTGAAATGTAGATCTCTGCATCTAGTTAACTAGAATAATCAGATAATGAAATTGTTCAACTAGAAATCTAAATCTATTTTCTTAGTCAATCCACACATGTCTGGGGTTCAAAGCATCATTTAGAAAAAGGTGAAATGAGGAGAACTGAATTTCAAAAAGTGATTACAAAGAATCTCAAAACTCTTGCTAGACCTCCACAAGTCTTTTTGGTGAGCTGTATGCCCACTAATAGATACACCAGGATATTTCACAGGGACTGGTAGGAAAACCCTTTTTTGGGAAATTGTTTGGGGGATTGAGGAGGGTTTTTTTTCCTTCTTTTTCTTTTTTTTATTTTCGGTTTGGTGGAGGGGGAAAAAAAACCTGTGGCTCTCTATGTGTTTTTGAGACATTTTCTCTGGGACGCTTTTTTTTTTCTTTTTTTGTGTTGTGGGGGTATACGTGTGCTTTCCCTTCTTCAAATTTGCTTCCCCTTCCCCAATTTTTTTTTTTGAACCCTTACCCCAGGGTTTTTTCCCAAGGTTATTTAAGAAATAATTAGGTTTTAAGTGACTTAAGTCATGAGAATGGATCCCTCTGATGGGATTAGTGTCCTTAAAAGAAGAGGAAAGGACTAGAAGGTTTCTCCCTCTTTCAAGCTCTGTCTCTGCCACATGAGGACACAGCAAGAAGAGAGCCATCTGCAAGCCAGGAAGCGGGCCCTCACCAGAACCTGATTATGTTGGCGCCATGATCTCAGACTTCCCAGCTTCGGAACTGTGAGAAATAAATGTCTGTTGTTGACGCCACCTGGTCTGTGATGTGTTGTAAGAGCAGCCTGAACTGACTAACGCTTGGGGGAAATAAAAGTAATTAGAGTTAGTAATTCAGGATACCATCCAGTTCTTCTCAGCTGGAACTCTGAGGTACTGGGATGACACCAGTTTCAGAAGTTGTTGCTTTGGTATAATCTTCCTGTGTTTCTACCCACAGCACTATTTTGTGAAATACTTTTTTATTTATTTACTTTTTTTTTTCAGACTGATTCTAGCTCAAACTGCCTCTTAGGCAAGACATTGGATAATTTTGATTATTGATGAACTATTCTTTCATGTTTGATTTTCTTCAACCTCATTTTTTTTTTAAAAAAAAAAAAAAGGTGGAACTCTGCAAGAATATTGGGCCATATAGTTTGGGGGCCATATAAAATGCTTTGTCATTTTCAAACCAAGAGGAGAAATTTGCTTCTATATTGATGAACGGTTCTTTCATGTTTTATTATCTCACACCTAAGGAAATTTCTTACGAATTTTCAGGAAATTTTGTGAGAAAATATTGATTGTGTGACAAACACCGTTGGGTGAAATCATTGCTATCTTGTTTTTTTTTTTTTTTTTAATCCTTGGTGTGGTATGACTGGTCACCAAGAATAATACTACTACTTTAATTTGGATAATAGTGTAAAATTAACAGAGGGGTTTCACCTGACTTATTGCTTGAACTCCTCTCAACAAACCATACAACAGTCATCTCTCTTTCACCAGAGAGGAAATGAGATTGAGCTGTGCCCATATCACATGGCTGGTAAGCAGCCCAGTTTGGCTATAACCCCAGAACAATGACTGCCTATGAAGAAATTCATCTGCCATTTTGGTTGGGAATAGAAGTGTCAAACAATGCCATGGGCACTCCTGTATGGAAAGATGTGAGATGCTTTCTATTGCAGGCATTATCGCCATAAACAAACACCTGTTTTGTGTCTCCTGAGCATCTGAGAAGATGGTATACTTCTACCTCAAAGTTTGCTCTGCTGATCTCTGTTCCTCTATCCAGAGCATGTACTTGAAAGAGAGAACCACCTGAACACTCCTTCCACTTGGACTAGAGGTTTTTCTGAAGGTGAATGCCTCAGTTTGTTTCCCAAATGTGGTGATTGGTACTATACCAAGATGCAATGAATTTAATGTAAAGCAAATGGTCTCAACCACTGAGAATTTGGGCTTGCTTGTTATTGAAGCTTAAATTAGCCTGTCTTGACTGGTATGATTTCTTGATTCAAATTTAATTCTTTTATAAAAGAATATTACCTCTGTAGGGATGGATCTTAAACTGATCATATAGATACATACCTTTGAAAGAGAAAATATCCTCCTAAACCCTCATGGTTTTATTTAAATCAATTTGACAATATTACTTAAATATGCACAAGCATAAAAGTAGGAACGAATTCTTCACACATGTACTTATTGAGCAACTGCAAAACCAGATTCCAAACTAAATGAAAAGAAAAATACCACATAACCAAAGGATTATAAATAAACAGTAACAAAATATACTGGAATCCACATGGCTTCGTGGAAACTACATTGCTATCCAAGTGTCAAGCAGGTTCTTTGAGTAGAGCATGCTTCTTTAATCTGCCCTCAGCAATGGCTCACTTTTTTTTTTCCAACTACCACAAAACATTCCTTAATTCATATTGTGTAAGAAAAGTTTAAAGGAATCATTTTAGTACCAAAGCTACTTCTGTTCCTTTCTTACCCAGCCTGACCTTTCTCACTCTTGATGCCAATAAACACATTCTAAAACTTGAGCTCAGAAATTTTGTGTCGGTTTTCAGATTTAAGGATACCTGTGCTTAGCTTTGTAAGTATATCATTGAAATAAAAACCCTAAGCTTTGAAATTTTTATTCAAACCTAGGAACAGTCCACTCTCAAAACGCATTTCAGATGCCCATGAAGTGTGTACTTGCAAACTGGTTAAAAGGACAAATGTTTTGCATATTTCACCAAAATTAAATTTTTTTTTCAAGAAGAATAGCACAGGTATCTTGAGCATGATCTCCCTATTATTTTGATTGTGGGTGACTTTAAGGGGAGTTGCTTAACCTCTCTGAATCTCCAGCATTCATCTGCAAAGCATACCATTCTTACGTTAAAGCACAAAGAGTGAAATGAAGAGCCTAGTACAGGACCATTTTTGTTATGCATTTTCCTCCCCGGCCTTAGCCCACTGATTTCCCAACTTCCCTTGATGAAAAGACATTTCCAGATGTAGTCTATAAGTCCTCCCACAAGGCCTTCGATCTGTTCCTTCTCACTCTGTGGACTTAATCAGGATCTGGCACAGGATTCCAGAGCTCCAGGGCACAATTTTACACACTGTCCTTTATAAAGGTCCGGATAGTAAATATTCCAGGTTTCTTGGTCTATGCGTATCGTGTTTCTGATATAACACCCAAGCACCTATATGACTTTCTGTAAGTATGAGGCTTTCCCCTTCTTCCCTACCTTTAAAGACAGGGATCGTGAATAATTTGTTTATTGAGCCTTTCTAATTCATGTTGGTGAAATGAGTAAAAATGCCATCAGATAAATAACCCTGGGGAGGATTAATGTCTGCAACATGTACAGCAGTTTAGGTTGTCACTGTCCCCTTCCCTTTGTGCCCCTGTTCATTCCCAGAAACACATTTGAAACACTGTTTTATTGAGTGAGGTGACTAGAGCTTGGCTGGCTAGTCGAGGTGCTGTGACAGGTTACCCCCTGTGACAGTGACTCCTGGAGCCCATTGTAAAGCCAGCTCTGGGGTCTTTTCTCTGACTGTGCCACGGTAACATGAACTGTCTCCTACCAGCTTGACATCACCACCATTGTGGGTTTGTATTTTCACCCCTAATTTATAGTTCAGGAGCCTGAGACCCAAAGGAGTTAAAGAGTTTTCCAAAGTCATCTACTAGAATCCAGGTTCCCTGATTCCTCCCATCATGCTACCCAGCGTTGGATTCTGAGGCCTCCAAGATCTTATTCACCTTCCGTATTTGAAATGTGTTTGTTGGGGGAACAATTGACCTCAGAATGAGTAACTTGCCACCACTCTGAGTAAGTTTCACCCTTTCCCATTACAGAGTGAAAATGAGAAAAATATGTCCTAGATACCACAGAGAAAAAATGCTTCATTGTCTTAATTGCCTTTCTATTTCAATCAAGGAAGGCATTTAATTATTTCTGAACTACATTCTAAATTCTCTCTCAAGAATATCACTGTCCCCAGGTGAGTTAACCAAGACTGTGCAAAACATTTTCTCAAATCTGAATAATGATCCCCAATATTTACTGAGTACTTCTCGCACGCCAGCAACTATTTTAAATCCTTTCCATTGATGACTTCATTTCCTCCTCTCAGCAAGTCTGTGAAGAGGATGCAATCATTATTCCCCTTTACAGATGAGGAGAGCAAGGCACAGAGGTGAGATCTTGGCCTGAGATCACAGGCAGGAGGTGGTGAAGTCAAGCATCCGATCCCAGGAGCGCCTCTGAGGTCACACTTCTGATTTCACTCACCATGCAGTCTTTGGACACAGACCTGGTGTCCCCTTTGAGATATCAGGGTTACTTGAACACAGTTCTGAATATGTACCCAAAAGCCATTTGTAGGAGCCATCCAAAATGACCAGTTGTGGCTGTTGAAGGGTCACCCAGGATCTCCAGCTTCTGGAAATACGGGTGGGTCATCTCAAGGCTGCAGGGGCAGCAGGGGCAGTTTGTCTGTCTTCTTAAACAACCTCAAGAAAGAAGTCCTTGCTGCTGAGCACCACTGTCCTGGGCCTCTAAAGATCTACATGGCACTCATTCTACTCCACTCGATCTAATCATGGCTGTGAAACCACAGACAGAAGAGATAACATTCTCATGATCTGTAGTTTATGGCCATTGCTCTTGCCTCACTTGAGCTATCTAGAGAACAAAGGACAGTCAACTCAGTATTTCTAGAGTAGGACCCCTTGTCTGTGGAAGGTATGACCCAAGATGCCCCCTGAATGCCTGAATCCACAGATAGTACTGAACTCCATATTTACTATGTTATATTAAAATCAAATTTATTAATTGGGCACAATAAACAATAATAATTCATATTAAATTAGAACAATTATAACATTATACAGTAATGAAATTGCCAGCATCACTACTTTTGCACTTTGGGGTCACTATGAAGTAAAATAAGGGTTACTTGAACCCAGGTACTGTGATACTACAACCATCAATTGGATAATCAAGGTGGCTACTGAGTGACTAATGGATGGATAACATATATGACATAGATACCCTGGACAAAGGGATGATTCACGTCCAAGGCAGGAAATGACAGGATGGTGTGATAGTTCATCATGCTACCCAAAAGTATATGACTTCATAATTGTGAGTTGTTTATTTCTGGAATTTTCCATATAATATTTCAGATTGGTTGACCACAGGTAACTGACACCATGAAAAATGAAATTACAGATAAGGAGTTAATAAGATAAAATTGAATGATATGTACACATAGGCTGTGTAAGTAGTAAAAAATGTTTTCTTGTAGGATGTACTGGAGCCTTCAAAAAACACCTATTACCTGTCGTACAGAATAAAGGCTAGATTTTGAAATGTGAAGCCCACATCAGTAGGGAGTTGACACTTCAAATCATTCACACAGATATTAAACTTTCTAATGGGTTAATTATGGAGTATCTTATATATTCAGATAGAAATATTTTGTAAGGTTTAAAAAGTTTTGATCTTCATGGTACTCTTTGTTTTAACAGCATAATTATTCATAAATAATTCTGCTTCATTAATTTTGCAAAAAGACATGTATGAAAAACACTGATATTTTTGAATAAAAAATAAAATTTAAAAATATATTTAGCCTCCATTCCTAATAAGCCTGAGCAACTGTTGTTTCTTTCTGAAGAATCAAGATCAGTCACAAGACTGAACCCTTGTTTAAATTCATCTATCATTCCATAAACATGTTAATATTTGAGAAACTGCATGAACTCAGCTTCTTTTCTTTCTTTCTTTCTTTTTTGGTGCTGGGTGCTAGAAGTTACTTTATGGCTAAGCATTTGTTTAGCCAGGGACCCGTGCTGGGTTCATGAAAGAAGTTTCCAGTCGTGAGAAACCGTTAGGGAGTTTTGAATTAAAGAGACAAGACTCTAATTACCTTTAAACCAGCTCCAGGACGGCTCCTCCTAGCTCCAGCCTCCAGCCACCTATTATCGTAGCAAGGTTTACTGAAGAGGCTAGCGAGAATGAGAGAACATGCCAGGGAGTGGAGTTTTATTGGGGAACAAAAAATTCTGGGGAAAATCCCATCCAATGAAGATTAAGGGTGAGGCAGCATCCCAAGGTCAGGGGCAATGATTGGGTTTGCACAGACAAGCCCTGTAACCTGGAGAAGGGTGGGGAAAGCTCTGACATAGCTGTGCCTAAGTGCCCCTCACCCAGCCAGGGAGGTAACTCAAATCAGGTGTGAGGATGGCCTCCCACACATATGTTCTACCAGTGAGCTGTGCCCCCAGTCCCAGGCTCAGCTTCCTATATAAAGATTTGTAGAGGTCATATAGCTTTGAGATATGTAGGCATTTGTTGTTTAATAAAGATTTGGACTATATTCTTAACCAAAATTAGGTAAGAAATTTAAGCAAAATTAATTTTTCTCTTCATTTTACTTTGTGCTAGTTCATGGCCACATGCACAGTACTTCACAAGCACCCAAATCCCTCTGCCTTCTGGGGACACAATGCCAACGTGGATGTATTCAAGGATGTGGGAGACTGAAACCAACCAATGAGCTCCTAAGTTCCAGTCCTGGCATCTATGGCATTCAGATCAACCCCCACTTTGCCTCTCAACACTCACACACACACACACACACATACACACACACACACACACACACACACACACATACCAGCTAAAATAATTTCCAACGCTCCTTAAAGTATTGAACAGCTAAAACAGCAGTGAGAAGTTCCCAGGCCCATTTTGGGGGAAAGACTTATAATCAGAGACATGGCTATAATATTTGACACTTCAGTACTTAGGTCAGAAAGCATCCTTGCTCATAGTTCACTTGGGCTTCTGCTCTGAGGTTACCTTCCCAGAGATAGCCAAGGTCAGAGTTCTAAACTGTCGAAAGTGGAAAATTTTTAAGAGACTTTCTCGTATAACCTAGCATTTCCAATTGTACTTTCTTGTATAACCTACATTTTCAACATCAGGACAAAATAGGTCTAAAATATCCTCTTCAGAGGCTCCTTGCCCTTCACAGGTTGGCTCTGTGGAGTGAGTCAGCAAGGAATCTCAGCTTGCAAAAATGATTGAAGACAGTACCCAACAGGTAGTGCACCCAGGTACCTGATAGAAGCATATCTATGCCAGACTATAGTAATCCTTATAAGTCATTTTACCAGAGCAAAGAAAGCAAGCTGTCCAAGATTAGCAGCAACACAAGGGAGCAGGACATAATGAGAATCAGCAGAATTAGCATAACACAGAAACATCTCAGGTGGCAAAAGCATCTTACAGACCACAATACCAACAGTCACCATATTTAAAGAAATAAATGGCAAACTTCGTACTATCTGCAGGAAAGAGAAAAACTACAGAATCTGTTATGGCACATTTGAAAAAGAAACAAATAGAACTTTTATAAATAAAGACTAAAATAATGCTAAAAACTCAGCAAATGTGTTCAACATCAGATTGGAGAAAAAAAAACATACAGGAAAGTTAATGAGTGGAAAAGTAAATTAGAAGAAGTTATCCAGGATGAACATGAGAAAGAAAAAAAGGAGAGCAAGACCTAAGAAGGTTATAATGAGAAATCTCACATACATTTAATTGATTCCTTAGGAGGAGAGGGAAAAAGGGATGAGGTAGAGGGAACATTGGAAGAAAATATAGCTGATAATTTTTTTAAAACTGTAGAGACACATTAATCTACAGATCAAAGCAATCCAGAGGCCCTAAGCATGAAAACAGACAAAAAAAAAATCCTCAGGCTTGGGTATATAGCTCAGTGGTAGAGCACTTGGTTTGCACACACAAGGCTCTGAGTTTGATCCCCAGCACCACAAATAAATAAATATAAATCTGCAAGTGGATGCATGAGAATAAAATTGCAAAAAAAAAAAGAGAAAATTTTTAAGCAGCCAAAGGGGGGAAAAAGGGACAAGATACTCATTAAAGAATGAAAGTTAGACTGACTTCTAGCCAACAGCTACATGTTTCCCCAACAGTGATAATGGATCATAGAAGATGAAGATGGTGGAATGGTACCTTTGATGTACCAAAAGAAAATAATTGCCACCACAGATTCCTGCACCCAGGGAAAGACAAGCTAAACCTAAGAGAATATGTCACCAGCAGATTCTCCCTGCAGGAAATCTATTGCTATGCTTCAAGCAGGAAGACAATGGTAACAGACAGATCTGAGATGTAGGAAGTTTGTGGAAGGAAGGAAATGGGGAGTGGTGGTAAATAAAATAAGCATCAATATACAAAATGGTAATGAGAATTTCTAGAGGGGAAGAAGAGGATTGATTAAAGTACCAGATAATGAAAGCATGTGAGGAGGAGGCATCACAGTATGAAACCTTAAACTATACTACAGAGCTATAGTAACAAAAACGGCATGATCTTGGCACCAAAATAGACTTGTAGACCAATGGTACAGAATAGAGGACACAGAGACAAACCCACATAAATACGGTTATATCATACTAGACAAAGATGCCAAAACCATTCACTGGAGAAAAGATAGCCTATTCAACAAATGGTGCTGGTAAAACTGGAAATCCATATGTAGCAAAAATGAAATTAAATCTGTCTCTCACCCTGCACAAAAATCAACTTGAAGTGAATCAAAGACTTAGGCACTAGAACAGAGACCCTGCACCTAATAGAAGAAAAAATAGACCCAAATATGTACCATGTCAGCCTAGACTCTGACTTCCTTAACAGGATTTTAAAGCACAAAAAGTAAAATCAAGAATCAATAAATGGGATGGATTCAAATTGAAAAGCTTCTTCTCAGCAAAGGACACAATTAATAACATGAGGAGAGAGACTACAGATTAGGAGAAAATCTTTACCACATGTACCTCCAATAAAGCATTAATCTCTAGGATATACAAAGAACTCAAAAACGAAACACCAAAAAACATAAACAAATAACCCAATCAATAAATGGGCTAAGAAACTGAACAGACACTTCACAGAAGAAGAAATACAATTGATCAACAAACATATGAAAAAATGTTCAACATCTCTAGCAACTAGAGAAATGCAAATCTAAACTACTCTAAGATTTTCTCAGTCCTGTCAGAATGGCAATCATCAAGAATACAGTCAACAATAAATGTTGGTGAGGATGTGGTGGAACAGGTACATTCATAGATGGCAGGTGGGACTGCAAATTTATGCAACCACTATGGAAAGCAGTATGGAGATTCCTCAGAAAACTGGGAATAGAACCACCATTTGACCCATCTATCCTACTCCTTGTTTTATACCCAAATGACTTAAAATCAGCATACTGTAGTGACGCAGCCACATCAATGTTAATAGCAGCTCAATTCACAATAGCTAGACTATGGAACCAACCTAGGTGTCCCTCAATAGATGAATGGATAAAGAAAATGTGGTATATATACTCATATATACTCAATGGAATATTACTTAGCTTTAAAGACGGGTGAAATTATGTCATTTGCCAGTAAATGGTTTGAGTTGGAGGATATGATGCTACGCAAAACAAGCCAATATCATAACCAAAGGCCAACTATTTTCTCTAATATGTGGATGCTAATTCATAATAAGGTGGGGGGCACTAGGGAAGAATAGCATTACCTTAGATTAGGTAGAAGGAAGTGATGGGAGGGGATAGGAAAGATAGAATGAAACAGACATTATTACTGTATTATATATGTGACTACATGACCAATATGATTCTGCAACAATGTACACCCAGAAAAATGAGAAACTATATCCCATCTATGTATGATATATCAAAGTGCATAAATGCATTCCATGGTCACATATAAACAATTAAAACAAATGCAAAATTAAAAAAAAAAGAATGAAAAATAAGAATACCTGTCACATTGGATTGGGTCCCACCTTAATGACCTCACCTTGATTTAATGCATCTGCAAGACCCTATTTCTAAATCCAGTTACAATCACAGGTTAGGACTTTCATATACCTTTTGGGGAGACACAGTTCAACTTATAACATAAGCTAACAACCAAAATCAGCATTTTATTTACAAACAAGTAAATAAAATCAATTGAATAATCATAAGTGTTAAAGATTAAAGGTAATATTGACACCAAAATCTAACAAGAACAGTATAAGGAAGAAATATTACAAGTTAGTCTCACTCACAAACACAGATTTTAACAATTCTAAACAGAATATGAAGAAATTGAATTCACAATATACAAAAAAGACAATGTGTCATCAACAAGTTGAGATTATCCTTTGATTTTAAGGTTGAGGTAACATAATGAAAATCAAGCAATGTAAATTGCTAAAGTAATTGATTGAAAGAGAAAAATTATATTATCATCATGATACATGCGGGGGGGAAAAAGGAGATGATGTAAATAATAATGGGGTATCTACCTTGAAGAATTATTGTGATGATAAGATGAGCATATATCAAGCACTTGGAACAGTGCCTGTACATGACAATCA